AACTTATTTTTCGAATTCATGCTGCAAATAAGACCATATTTCGATTCCGTTCACCAAAAAACTTTAGTGAGAAAAATCAAAAAAACGAACTACAAACATATTAACGCCAAATATTTATAGAATATTTAAAAATATATATATATATATATATATATCATTAAAAACTTAAGTATATGTAATGCATATATACACATGCGATTAAGTGTGAGCGATATATAGGTTACCGAACATGCCACATAAATAAACACGTAGGTTGGCGCAGCGGAAACCAAATTGAATTATTTATTCGACAACTTTCAACTGGCCAACTAATTTTTTAAACTACAACCCAGTGAAGAGTGCGCTACAAAAAATTAAAGAACGAATCCGCCCGATCAACTGGAATGGAACAATGAACGAGGTTGTCTGGGAGATGAAAGTTGGGAACGGTAAGTCGATACTTGCTAACTATTCAACAACAATGGCAATAAAAGCAAGAAATAAAGGGAACGAAGTATCAACAATATCAATCGATACAAGATGATTAGTTGAATACATTCATTCTTCTCAGTTGCGTGTGGAGATGCGGGGGAGGGTTTTGTTTGTTTGTTTGTGTTTGGTTGTTTGTTTGGTTGTTTACATTGTGTTTGGTTGAGTTTGGTAGTTTGTTTGTTTGTGTTTGGTTGTTTGTTTGGTTGCTAACCGTTGTTTTTTCGTTTTATGATGAGAATAATTGAGAGCATGTATGCCAACATGAGGTTGTTGTTATATTGTGTGTGTATTGAGTTTTAAAAGGAAGAAATTAAAAAAAAATGTCATAAAATGTTAGAAAATTAATGTAAATAAGAAAACATTCAACATTACATACAACACAACATACAGTACAAAACATCATAAACAACACAACACATACAACACAGCACATACAACACAACACATACAACACAACACATACAACACAACACAACACATACAACATTCAACAGCGCAACGAGGCGAATTTTAATATGAATGAGTTGAGGATGATAAATGTGAACGGACGTTAATTTTATGGGCTCCTACAATATAATGTAGCAGGTGCTACAAAGTACAGACACTCGACAACGCAACATCACACACAGCCTCATTTACAACACACAACAGCACACATATAAATTAATTAAGTACACATAAAACTTCACAAAATCGTAGTTGCATAATCAAACACGCACATAAAGCCATATACGTAAACATACGCACAAGAACACACAAATATATACATGCATATATATATATATATATATACATCTTATATATGCAATTATTAAAATCACAGCATGTTCCGCGTTTATAAGCTTCCTATTTAATTTTTCGATTTATCAAATGGTAGATCGTAATTAATTGTCAAGTTTCTTGAGTTCAATACCAAAATTTTATTTTTCTCGGAACATAATGATTTTCATCAATAATCGCATTTCTGATATATTTATATATATTTATTTATAACAGTTGCAACATTTTATGATTGCGCAATGTTTCACAACGAAATAACACCTCGACTTTACAACCGGGTAACATCAACATTATTGTGCAATTTAAAAATAGCTTCCACAAGAAACTTTTGAAAAATTTTTCTCTACTTATACAAAATTTTTTCCCGCCACCGCTCCCAACCCAGCCATGCATTGAACATTAGATGGCACGTTCAGATAATTCCTTCCTTCTTGGGGATGTTTAAAATCCATTTTATGTAGAGGGCGCGTGTGCATACATAATTAAAGGCATATATATAATACATCATTGTACATTATATATATATATATATATAATTATACAATATTATATATATTTTAACAAAAATCTCGCGTATATATGTATATATATATATAATTTTATTTTTATCGATATGTGACTGTCACAAATTGCAACTTAACTGCACAGATAAAAATCCAAATGAACAACCATGAGACAATTATTTTTATAAGTAGTTAATAAAAATTATTAATAATTTTAACAAAAATCTCGTTTCATTGAGGAAGTTTATTAAATGTTTAGGGCCAGCTTAAAATACCATCTCATCACAAGAACGCAAAGCAAACACACACACACACACAAACACACACACACACAGTTACAAATAATTGTTTGTTTGAAGCAGTTACATTTTATTGCTTAAGATCTAATCAGCCGATGTTTACGTTGACGAAATTAACATATCAAGGTCTGTCGGAGGGCCTTCTTTAATCATCGCATTCATTCTTTATATTCATTCCACTCATCCATTATTTAATCCTTCTTAATTTGTATAAACAATTAAACAAACGCGTTAATTAATGGATGGGATTGATTTAATCTTTAATGGCTCCATTAGCATTCAGCGGACCTAACCTCACTGTAGTTTAAACCTGAGAGAAGCAACGGCCCTTCTAACAGAATTTCATCTCACGTGTAAATAAACACAAATGCATTCGTACTCCACAAAGTTTTTTATTATTTCGAAAATTAAATTCCAGTCATCCTAACAACAAAATTGAACTTATTTGAAAGATTCGTTTAAAAGATTGTTTCGGTCACCAATCCATTTTTGAAGTTATAAGAAGTAATTTGAACTGAAAATGTAGCTAGTAGTCAGAAATGAAAAGTTTCTGTCGTTGAAATGAACTACTGAACGTTTTCTGATTGCTCCATACAAATTTAAACGTTGACAAGTTAAATATAAAGATGAAGTAGAACATCATACGCACAGCAGACACAAACAAGCATCGTAGATTTCACGCATAAACTTCTTATTTTGTTGTGTACACGCGCAAGTAACGTAAC